CTCTTGTGGCAATTGAACCCACACACACACACACATATGTAGGCCACAGCAGACCCAAGGTATGTATTTATACAATTATATGAATTTCTCTCATATTTATTTGATCTATCAATTTAGTTAAACTCTTTTGTGGCAAACTTGACAGTCTCTGTGACTTACCATTAGATTTTCTACAGCCAACACACCCATGTTTGGAGATCAACAATTATTTTCAAGTCCAAAATAGTAAGCAGAATTTAGATTGACTTAATGCGCTTTCTTGCCTCCAACTGCCTCTACACCGGTAATTAGTTGATTCTATTTTTCTCATCTAAATATTAAGTGGTTTTAAAGGATTTGATACTGTCTTCTCACCAAAGTGCTTCTTAATTCATATTATGGTTCTTATTTGTTTATCCAAATGTCATTACTATGTTTTTTCTGTATCACACAACCTTTTGAACGATGTTGCAGGGCTCTTATATACTGCTTCTCTGAAGCTAAGCCCTAGTGCTCAGCATCTGACTTAATGGAGCTTATGTGAATTGGATATACGTGAGTTGGTGTAGTCGGCTTATTGTTCAACTCTTGCAGCCATTCAACCTATACACAGGCCATAACAGACCTAAGGTATGAATTTCTCTCATATTTTATCTATTGATTTTGTTAAAAACTTCCATGGCTAACTTGAGCGTCTTAAGTTCCCTGCTAGAGCACACTTCTACAGCCCTTCACCATCTTTCCTCCTGCCTTTGGATTGTGCTTTCTTCTGTACCAGCTGCCTCTACCTTCCTATTCTACCCTGATAAATTTTCAAGATTTTAGTGTTTTTAGATTTTACTTTTAACAAATTCCATATGATATCTATCTCTCTTAATTGGATGCTAATTCCTTTATAATTGCCAATCACAGTGATTCATGTGTGATCATGTGAAAGTGAAAGGAACAGCAAGTACTCACTCATTGCCTGTACGTACCAACATTCCATCACATCTTTTTCTAATTAAAGAATTTTGTGTAATTATTAGATGTTCAAGAATGAAGAATTTGTTTCCCTTTGAAAAGCTGTGGGATCTTCACGTTCATGATTGCAAAGGGTAATAGCATAGAAAAATGAGGAAGAAAATCAGACAATGGATGGAAGAGCTACACTCACTCTTCCAAAGTTAACCTTCTTTGGGACTTACATGACAAAACAGAATTGAAGAGAATCCGCTTGAGTAATGGTTTGTTATTCTCTTAATTTTCACATTCTAAATTAACTTTTTAAACTTAATAACTTATTTAAACTGTACCAATCCTGTTTTGTCAAGATTTTAATATGGTAAGACATGTCTTAACTCTTCTCATGATTCAGTTTTTCTTTTTTTCTTTTGGGCCTCAACTCTGATTCAGCGTTACTGATTCAAATCTCACTAAAGTTTTGGCACTAGCTGCAGCACTCTAAATTTGTGCAATTTACTTCTTTTTAGTAAAATAAAATGATCCATCAGTTGCTGTGTCGTGGTTCCAATAAATTGTTAATTAATTGCTTGCACTTTTCCATCCAAGATTAAGTGGTTTTAGATTCTATTTTAGAGGATTTAATATTGTCTTTTCTCCAATGTGATCATTAATGGATGTCATGGCTGTTATTTGTTTACCTGATCATTGGTACGATGTTTTCTCCATACTGGCTGAGGGACTCTCTAACCTTATGGCAGCAAGTTTGCTTGAAGAATTGGCCATTGGGATTTCTTTGTACAAGGATGAGATTAATGGAGGTTATATGAATGTATATGTAAGTTGGTATAAAAATTAGCCTTTTTATTTTTTCTGGTGCTTTGGGTATGGTCTAATTGGATAACTGTCCTTTCGCTGTTGAAGTACCTGTTGGCTCCTCAATAGGGTACAATGCGGCTGTGCTGTGGAATCGGATCCTCTTAGAGTTGGCAGAAAGGAATTCGCCTTTGTTTCAATAAATATGATTGAAATAGAGGTTAGCTATCATTTTCACCTACTTTGATATTTCCATTTGAACAATTCAACCATCTGTTCAAATGAAACCCGGGACATTTGAATTGTTTGATAGTTTGATATACAGCTGAATTCAACTTTCTCCTGCAGAAGCCAATAATCTGCTTTTGTGGAATCCCTGGTTAGAGTTGTGTTTTAAACCAATATGCCTTCTGCTGTCACCAAGTTTGTGGGTTTATTTGACAAGAGAGAAAGTTTCTCTTGGACTTAGCCGACAATGCCCATAATTTCCTATTGAACTGGCTTCAGAGATATCCACCAATCAAAACCCAAGATTTCTTCATGTAAGGTGGGAGTTTCGCAGGCAGTAAGTTTTGGGGTTCTCTTTCATATTTGCACATATGGTTATGTAAATGCTTTGTAAATCATTCCTTGTTATTGCAGGCCACCATGTACCATAACTTGTGGAGCATGGTTTGTCTATGATCAACACAAGGACATACAAATGTACTTAATCGTCTCAAAGGTTTTACGGTAAGAATAATCCCCCATGTTTATGCTTTATTGGATTGGAGGCTAAAATTGATCACCAGCATTAGGCTGCACGTACTTATCTTATACATCTCAAGCATACATGAACATAATGTACTAAGATGATATCCATGTTGCAGGTAGGCAATCTAGAAGCCGATTATTGTTATGATTATAATGCCTTGCCAAGATATGCTTGGACCTGTTATGTGAGACCAAACCAGCTCTACTTCAAAGCCAAACAAGTGTAGTCTTCAAAGTCTCCATACTAATTTGCCTGACCTTGATGAGTGCAACAATTTCATGAACAAAGTCTTTGAAGAATACAGAGATGGACATTTTCAGAAAAAAGAGAGACATCATCAACGATTTCTCTCTTGGATCCATGGTAACTAGATGGCTGGTTTTAGCATGTTCCTTGAGAATTGTAGCATTGATCTTGCTGAACTTTGGACTTCTGCGTTGCTCTCCTTCTGGCTTTAGAACTTCACATTAACAATACCAGCCACCACCCTCATAGGAACATCATCAAGAAAATCACTAGCACTACCAATACCAGGAGGTGGAGCCCGACAGCTACACCGCTGATTGGATGGCTAAAAGCCTAAAAGTAGTCTTGAAATCGTCATCTTGTGTTTGAAATCCCTTCCAAGGGTATTTTGGCTTCTCATTCTGGCTGATGCTGATAGTATTGCATCCCTAGAATTACTAAATAAGTCATACCCTTTTGAGTCTTGAAGCATATATGTCATGTAAGGCTTAGCACATCAGCACCCTGTCAATTTTCAGAACATTGAAATTCAGAGTTCAATTTCGGATAGTCAATAGATGTGATTTAATTTGATTCAGCAAGCAGATTGGCGTCATTTTTACCATCAAAATTTTTTAACTTTGCCTCATTTTGCCACATCTTCTACAACTTTAGTTGAGGATAAGGATAATCCATTACTCCGGCATCTTCATTCCACCCATTTCCAGATTATGCACAAGGATATATTTGCTCCCCAGAATAATTTTTACATTTACAGAAACAGAGTAGTACGAACGAAAACAAGAACACGTACAGATGTAAACAATTTCCTTTCATATACATTTACAATTTCTGTTCAAGAGTTGTGGTGTCAAAGCTGCAATACAGTGGCGGTAAAGTGACAGCCACATGGAGCTGCACAAAATGGCAGCAAATCTTTTAAATATAATATTACTTTAAATGTTTGATAGATTTTCTTG